ATATTATTATATTATTATTATTATTATTATTATTATTATACAGGATTTATAGTATTATTATTATTATTATACAGGATTATATATTATTATTATTATTATTATTATACAGGATTTATATTATTATTATTATACAGGATTTATGGTGCCAACAGTGTGCTCAGCAGTTTACAATATAACGGGAGACAATACAGCAACAATACAGTTCAATACAAGAGGGATAGGAGGGCCCTGATCCTGGGAGCTTACAATCTAGGAGTGAAGAAGATACTACCAGGGGCGGACTGACAACTCATGGGGCCCCGAGCAATAAGGGATCGTGGGGCCCCTGTGTCCTTGCCCAAACTCAAAAAAGCCTATGAAAAAGGTACCAGGGGCATCTCATGGGGCCCCCTACTGACCCCGGGCCCTCGGGCAGTGCCCGAGCTTCCAAATGGTCAGTCCACCCCTGGATACTACTATTTTAATATTACAGATATCCTCATTGTCTTCTTTTCTTTATTACATAGCTTCCAGGTATGCATCTGACTTTTTAAATTTCTACCACTTTTCCCATCTTATACGAAAAATCTCCATCCTATCTTCATCCAAATGGTAAAGTTCCTCCAGCCTATAAATCTTCTCTATTATTATTATTATACAGGATTTATGGCGCCAACAGTTTGCTCAGCGCTTTACAATATAATGGGAGATAATACAGCAACAATACAGTTCAATACAAGAGGGATAGGAGGGCCTGATCCTGGGAGCTTACAATCTAAGAGGGAGGGGCTAGTGATACAAAAGGTAATAACTGTGGGGGGATGGACTGGTAGGAGGAATAGAAGATTCCATTATTAGCTGAGGGTGGGATAGGGTTCCCTGAAGAGATCGGTTTTCAGAGATCGCCTAAAAGTAAGTAGAGTAGGCGACAGTCTGATAGATTGGGGTAGGGAGTTCCAGAGGATGGGGGACGCCCTGGAGAAGTCCTGGAGATGAGAGTGGGAGGAGGAGAAAAGGAAGCTAGAGAGCAGGAGGTCTTGCGAGGAGTGGAGAGTACGGTTTGGGTGATATTTAGAGATAAGATCGGATATGTAAATTGGGGCGGAGTTATGGACGGCTTTATGTCATTGTTAGAGTTTTGAATTTTTATCCGTTGGGCAACTGGGAGCCAGTGGAGGGACTGGCAGAGAGGGGTGGAGGACACTGAGTGGAGGGATTGGCAGAGAGGAGTGGAGGACACTGAGTGGAGGGATTGGCAGAGAGGAGTGGAGGACACTGAGTGGAGGGATTGGCAGAGAGGAGTGGAGGACACTGAGTGGAGGCCAGTGGAGGGATTGGCAGAGAGGGATGGAGGACACTGAGTGGAGGGATTGGCAGAGAGGAGTGGAGGACACTGAGTGGAGGTCAGAGGAGGGATTGGCAGAGAGGGGTGGAGGACACTGACAGGAAGCCAGTGGAGGGATTGGTAGAGAGGGGTGGAGGACACAGAATGGAGGCCAGTGGAGGGATTGGCAGAGGGGGGTGGCAGATACAGAACGGTTAGTAAGGTGGATGAGTCTGGCAGCAGCATTCATGATAGACTGAAGAGGGGGATAGCCTGCGATGAGGTCGGCCAATGAGGAGGGAGTTACAATAGTCAAGGCGAGATATAACCAGGGAGGGAATAAGTTGCTTAGTGGTTTCTATCCAATCCTTTACTCTCGGTGCCGGTTGTTCCAAAAATTGGGTATCGGGCTCTTCGCTGCATTCAAATAGTACACTAATCCAGTTATTTTTTATATTTTTTACTGAGACTCAAAAGCATAGAAAAGACAAGTCTCTGGCTTTTTCCTAAAAGTTCTAAAAGGAGAATTTCACCGTCATCAAGGAAGGGTTCGGCTGAGCGGTGTTAGGATCCAATACAGTCATATATTATTTTTATTGCTCCCACTGACACCAATGCTGTGGTTTATTATTAGGTCCACTGACACCAATGTTGGGAGTTATTAATGAGTCCGCTGACACCAGTAGGGGGGGGGAGGGGCTATTTACTGCATCCACTGACACCAATGCTGTGGTTTATTATTGAGTCCAGTGACACCAATGTTGGGAGTTTTTAATGAGTCCACTGACACCAGTACTAGGGGTTATTACTGCATCCACTGACACCAATGCTGTGCTTTATTATTGAGTCCACTGACATCAGTGCCAGGGGTTATTATTGCATCCACTGACACCAATGTTGTTGTTTTTTATTGCACTCACTGACGCCAATGCTGGGGATTATTATTGTGTCCACTGACACCAATGTTGGTTTTTTCTTATTGCACTCGCTTACACCAGTGTCTTATTGGGGGCTTACACCAGTGTTGGGGGTTATTATTGCACTCACTGACACCAATGCTGGGGGTTATTATTGCATTCACTGACACCAATGCTGGGGGTTATTATTGCATTCACTGACACCAATGCTGGGGGTTATTATTGCACTCACTGACACCAATGCTGGGGGTTATTATTGCACTCACTGACACCAATGCTGGGGGTTATTATTGCATTCACTGACACCAATGCTGGGGGTTATTATTGCATTCACTGACACCAATGCTGGGGGTTATTATTGCGTCCACTGACACCAATGTTGGTTTTTCTTATTGCACTCACTAACATCAATGCTGGGGGTTATTATTGCACTCATTTACACCAGTGCTGGGGGTTATTATTGCATCCACTGACACCAATGTTGGGGGTTACTATTACACTCACTGACACCAATGCCGGGGGTTATTATTGTGTCCAACGACAGCAGTGCTGGGGGTTATTATTGCACTCACTTACACCAGTGCTGGGGGTTATTATTGTGTCCACTGACACCAGTGCTGGGGGTTATTATTACACTCACTGACACCAATGCTGAGGGTTATTATTATAGGGTGGTGACACCTGTACATCTGAGAGGGGAATCCCCCTCTCTTTGGGAGACATTTGCACACAAGTGAATGACAGGGCTGCTGATAGGGGGGCAGCTAGTACTCTGACACAGGACCCCATTGGTTCAGCAGGGGGACCTAGGGTAGGTAGGGGCAGCCTGTGAGTGGCCCCAGTGCAGCATTGTCAGCTCAGTTCGGGGATTCCTGCCTGCCAGGGTCGGGGCTTTCCCTGTTCATAGTCGCCTGGTGGGACTCGGGATGAGTGGTTAGGTACGGCTTATTGGACCGTCGGCGCCGACGTCTCTCCATCGCGTTTTACTTGCTCTTAATCCCGAAGTTCTTGGAAACCTTCGCTGATCTTCTAACGGCTTCATGTCGCTCCAACTTTCCCTTCCTTTATTATCCTCGACGTTTGATCGCCGCGCATTCCACAGATCTCCGACGCTTGGGATGGGTGAAGCCGCGCCTTTCCTAAACCTTCTGAAAGGAGAATGTCACCGCCATGGAGGAAGGGTTCGGCCGAGCGATTCCGGGATCCAAAACAGTCAAATGTTACAAATAGCAACTTAATAACAACATAACTTATGTGGAAAAGGACATTTTGTGCACTTTTGTACAGAGCGGGGGAAGGGTTCGACCTCGGTGCCCCACATGTCTCTGGCTGGCTATTGGCCACCATATCGATAGCAGAGTGACAGCGGGGTCCCGGGCCCCCGACACTGAAAGTCATCTGGGCCCACAATTCAGTCCTGGCCTGGGTTGAGAGGGTGGCAGGGGAGCGGGAACGTGTGATAGGAGGATGATCACCAATGGGAGTTAACCTTCACTTCAATGACACCAAAAGGGGGATGGCGGGGTGGGGATGGGGTGGCTAATTTTCACTGTCATGACCACCAATGTGGGGGGTGGGGTGCGATAGTATTGACTATTACTTCAAATTTAGTGGACGGTCTGCAGTAGTCACATGTGAAAGCATATGCAGCACCTTTTGCAGCCATCTCCCTCTAACAGTCTCTCCTTCCCCGGGGTCAGTAGTACTCACAGGACTGGTTCTCTGTAGTCACCTCCCCCATGAGTGCACCTCTCCTGGGACTCTCCAAGGAAACAGCCTCACTCAAGTAACTCTTGGCCTGGCCTACAATACTGCCCTAGCCCCCTCCCCCTAAGGGACAGAATGTCTACAGCCGGCTCTTCCTGGGTGCCGGTCTACTCCTCCCTACAACCCCCCCCCCCATCCAGGGCTTGCACATGCTGCATAGATGTGGGGTATTTGGCTCCCACACCCCAAAGGGGTCCATGCTCCTTATATGTGGGTGCTGACTCAACCATAACATCACTGCAGGACGGCTCTACCCAACAGGGGTCTAGCACCTCATGACACTATTTGCTGTAACCAAACACTATTCTGGTACAGAGCCACCTAGTGGCAAAGTAGCTAAATCAGATTTTCGGCATCCCCTGCAATAGGAATTTCAGTTTTTGTGAGGGTTAAATACTTCTAAAGGGATGCAGACCCTGCAACTTTTCTCATCAGAACACTGAGATCATAATAAACCAGATCCTCCCGCTCAGAATCAGTCGGCGCAGGACACGGGGGAAACAAACAGCTATTTCTTCAGAGCCACAAAAGGTAGAAATCGGCTACAAAGTTTATCATCGCAGCAATGTACATCGATCACCCGGAGGGGAGGGATTTTTTTTTCCTCTCATCAAAAAAATTAAGCTTTCTTCCCGTGTAAGACAGGCATAAAAACAGATCTTTTTTTTTTTTTACCGCGCGTGGTAAGGTTTTGTGTTGGCAGCGAGCACTCACCTGAATGGATCAGAATCTGCAGCATAAGAAGAGGTGAGGGGGAGGAAGGATTGGCAGATATGTAGGCTGCAGTGTGCACAATTACCGAGAAAAAAAGAAGAATCGTTCTCTGCAGCGTGCTGAAAATCCACAACAGCATCGATCTTAACCCCTTCCAGTCCGGACACTTTCCCCCCCCCCTTCCAGTCCGGACACTTTCCCCCCCCCCTTCCAGTCCGGACACTTTCCCCCCCCCCTTCCAGTCCGGACACTTCCCCCCCCCCCTTCCAGTCCGGGACACTTCCCCCCCCCCCTTCCAGTCCGGACACTTTCCCCCCTTCCAGTCCGGACACTTCCCCCCCCCCCTTCCAGTCCGGACACTTCCCCCCCCCCTTCCAGTCCGGACACTTTCCCCCCTTCCAGTCCGGACACCTTCCCCCCCTTCCAGTCCGGACACTTTCCCCCCCTTCCAGTCCGGACACTTTCACCCCCTTCCAGTCCGGACACTTTCCCCCCCTTCCAGTCCGGACACTTTCCCCCCCTTCCAGTCCGGACACTTTCACATCCCCCCTTCCAGTCCGGACACTTTCACCCCCCTTCCAGTCCGGACACTTTCCCCCCTTCCAGTCCGGCACACTTTCCCCCCCCCCTTCCAGTCCAGACACTTTCCCCCCCCTTCCAGTCCGGACACTTTCACCCCCTTCCAGTCCAGACACTTTCACCCCCTTCCAGTCCAGACACTTTCCCCCCCTTCCAGTCCGGACACTTTCACCCCCTTCCAGTCCAGACACTTTCACCCCTTCCAGTCCGGACACTTTCACCCCCTTCCAGTCCGGACACACTTTCACCCCCTTCCAGTCCAGACACTTTCCCCCCTTCCAGTCCAGACACTTTCACCCCCCTTCCAGTCCGGACACTTTCCCCCCTTCCAGTCCAGACACTTTCACACCCCTTCCAGTCCGGACACTTTCCCCCCCCTTCCAGTCCGGACACTTTCACCCCCTTCCAGTCCGGACACTTTCCCCCCTTCCAGTCCGGACACTTTCCCCCCCTTCCAGTCCGGACACTTTCACCCCCTTCCAGTCCGGACACTTTCACCCCCTTCCAGTCCGGACACTTTACCCCCCTTCCAGTCCGGACACTTTCCCCCCCTTCCAGTCCGGACACTTTCACCCCCTTCCAGTCCGGACACTTTCCCCCCCTTCCAGTCCGGACACTTTCACCCCCTTCCAGTCCGGACACTTTCACTCCCTTCCAGTCCGGACACTTTCCCCCCCTTCCAGTCCGGACACTTTTCCCCCCTTCCAGTTCGGACACTTCCCCCCCCCTTCCAGTCCGGACACTTTCCCACCTTCCTGTCCGGACACTTTCAATCACCCCTTCCAGTCCGGACACTTTGCCCCCTTCCAGTACGGACACTTTCCCCCCCTTCCAGTCCGGACACTTTGCCCCCTTCCAGTCCGGACACTTTGCCCCCTTCCAGTCTGGACACTTTCCCCCTTTCCAGTCCAGACACTTTCCCCCCCTTCCAGTCCGGACACTTTCCCCCCTTCCAGTTCGGACACTTCCCCCCCCCCTTCCAGTCCGGACACTTTCCCCCCTTCCTGTCCCGACACTTTCACCCCCTTCCAGTCCGGACACTTTGCCCCTTCCAGTACGGACACTTTTCCCCCCCTTCCTGTCCGGACACTTTCACCCCCTTCCAGTCCGCACACTTTGCCCCCTTCCAGTCTGGACACTTTCCCCCTTTCCAGTCCGGACACTTTGCCCCCCTTCCTGCCCCCCAGGCCAATTTTCACCTTTCAGCGCTGTCACACTGTGAATGACAATTGCGCGGTCATGCAATACTGTACCCATATGAATTTTTTAGCATTTTTTTGAGACAGATAAAACTTTATTTTGGTGGTATTTAGTCACCGCTGGGATTTTTATTTTTTTTTTGCTATATAAATGAAAAAGTCCAAAAATTTTGAAAAAAAGTGTTTTTCTTATAAAATTTTGCAAAAAAATCTTTCTTCATGAATCTCAGTTAAAATGTATTCAGTTCTCTTTTTAGCAAAGAAAAAAATAACCCAAATTAGTTTATAACCAAAAATTATAAATTAAAAAATTTATTTACATTTTTATTTTATTTTCTTATATTATTATTTATGTTTTTTTTTTTTTTTTTTAACATACTGTCATCCTAGCAGTGTGGGGTCACCATGGTGACACTGTACTACTTGTGGGGGGTGATGAAGATTTTTTATTTTTTTTTTTTACACTGATTGCTTTTACGCCCATAAAGGCTGTAAGAGGAATCATTTCTCCTTCTCTCTGGCTGCATTCTTGCAGCCATTGAGAAATACTGTGTGAGCTGTGATTGGTCACAGCTTGTCTCATGGTACAAGGCTGCTGTGAATGGCCCTGTACCATGTGATCTCTGTGATCATTCACAGATTTCACACATAGTAAGCAATGATGTCAGCAGTGACATCTTGCTTACTACTGTTCAAGTGATCACTGATTGGCCAATCAGTGATCACATGATCGAGACCTAACATAGAGGTCCCGTACAGCAACCGGTGTTCAGGAATCAAACCCATGACCCATTTACTGCAAGGCAGATGTGCTAACCACTAAGCCACTGCGCCACCTAACCGCTTGTTCCAGCCAAGGAATGCAGAATACCATCACTGAACGCGCAACACGTCCAACCTTGAAGCAGATGGGCTACAGCAGCAGAAGACCACACCGGGTGCCACTCCTGTCAGCTAAGAACAGGAAACGGAGGCTACAATTCGTACAGGATCACCAAAATTGGACAAACAGAAGAACAGAAAAACATTGCCTGGTCTGATGAGTCTGGATTTCAGCTGCGACATTCAGATGGTAGGGTCAGATTTTGGCGTAAATAACATGAAAGCATGGATCCATCCCGCCTTGTATCAGCTGTTCAGGCTGGTGGTGGTGGTGTCATGGTGTGGGGGATCCATCCTGCCTCGTATCAATGGTTCAGACTGGTGGTGGTGGTGTCATGGTGGGGGGATCCATCCTGCCTCGTATCAATGGTTCAGACTGGTGGTGGTGGTGTCATGGTGGGGGGATCCATCCTGCCTCGTATCAGCGGTTCAGGCTGGTGGTGGTGGTGTCATGGTGTGGGGGATCCATCCTGCCTTGCATCAATGGATCAGGCTGGTGGTGGTGGTGTCATGGTGTGGTGGATCCATCCTGCCTTGCATCAATGGATCAGGCTGGTGCTGGTGGTGTCATGGTGTGGGGGATCCATCCTGCCTTGCATCAATGGTTCAGGCTGGTGGTGTTGGTGTCATGGTGTGGTGGATCCATCCTGCCTTGCATCTATGGTTCAGGCTGGTGGTGTTGGTGTCATGGTGTGGGGGATCCATCCTGCCTTGTATCAATGGTTCAGGCTGGTGGTGGTGGTGTCATGGTGGTGGGGGGGGGGGATTTTGTGGCACACTTTGGGCCCCTTAGTACCAATTGAGCATCGTTTAAATGCCACGGCCTACCTGAGGATCATTGCTGACCATGTCCATCCCTCTATGACTCCAGTGTCCCCATCTTCTGATGTCTCCTTCCAGCAGGATAATGCTCCATGTCACATAGCGCCAATCATCTCCAACTGGTTTCTAGAACATGACGATGAGGTCACTAGACTCCAATGGCCTCCACAGTCACCAGATCTCCATCCCATAGAGCACCTTTGGGATGTGGTGGAACAAGAGATTCCCATCATGGATGTGCAGCCGACAAATCTGCAGCGAGTGTGTGAGGCCATCATGTCAATATGGAGCAAAACCTCTGAGGAACGTTTCCAACACCATGTTGAATCTACGCCAAGAAGAATGAAAGCCGTTCTGAAGACCAAAGGGGTTTCCACCCGGTACTAGCAAGGTGGACCTAATAAAGTGGATATTACTTTTCAGTGCAGCCAGTATAAGTACCTCAAGTTGTCTTTATATTAGCTCCCTGTAATGCCCCATGCAGCATGGAGATGAAAGAGTAGCACCAATCAGGCTCTCTACTGCGCTGCACAGCGTGGTCAACCACTAATCTGAGTGGTGACACCATTAGTGTTCTTTTAATCCTTCATTAGCCAATCAATAGGTTGGGGGTGGGACCAAGCCGTTCCGCTCATCTGCAGGAAAGTGATATCACAGACATTTACTCTTGTGCTGGAGGAGTGTTTAAAAAGTGCGGCTAAGTTGTATTTTTTTACCGCCCCCAACCACTCCGACTTATGCTGCAAAAGCAATGGAGGGGGGGAGTACATATGCTGCAGCGGTTTTGCAGTCAGTGGGTTACATATGCTTTTACTGGGTGTGACGTCCAACAAAACTGAAACTGTTTATTAAAACCCGGGCTTTTATCAGCTGGAACGTGGCGGAACTCAGCTCCACCACCTCTGCCTCGGGCCCTCCCGTGACAGCTTTTCCCAGAACAGCCCCCACAGATCTGATCTCCTGAGAGGCCCCCACTGAGTGCAGGATGGGGACAAGGGAGATGCAGGTGCCCAGGGGGCAGTGCAGAGGCCGACACCCCCACTGGATGATCTCCCTGCAAGTAAGAGAGGCGGAGCCACCTACAGTATGCGGGGGAGGTCCTAGAGGCGGCTGAGTGCTTCAGCTTAATGCAGCAACAAATGTAAGAAGTGTAAGATGGTGGAGCTTTAGGGGGGGCAGTGGAGGGGGGTTGCATGCAGAGGTCAGAGCTGAAGAAGGGTGAAAGTGACATGTGGATGGGGGATGCAGAGGTGAGCAGGTGTGGAAGAAGGCTGAATTCTGCACTCTATGTGTAGCGCACCCCTGAACTCTGCCCTCTGTATACAGTGTACCCCAGAACTCTCAGTGAAACCTCCCGAACTCTGCACTCTTTGTGTAACGCACCCCTGAACTCTGCACTATGTACATAGCACACCCCTGAACTCTGCCCCCTGTATACAGTGCACCCCTGAACTCTGCCCTCTGTATACAGTGCACCCCTGAACTCTGCCCTCTGTATACAGTGCACCCCTGAACTCTGCACTATGTACATAGCACACCCCTGAACTCTGCCCTTTGTATACAGTGCACCCCTAAACTCTCAGTGAAACCTCCCGAACTCTGCACTCTGTGTGTAAAGCACCCCTGAACCAAGGACGGACTGACCATTTGGAAACTCAGGCACTGCCCGAGGGCCCGGGGTCAGTAGGGGGCCCCATGAGATGCCCCTAGTACCTTTTTCATAGGCTTTTTTGAGTTTGGGCAAGGACACAGGGGCCCCATGATCCCCTGTTGCCCAGGAGCCCCATGAGTTGTCAGTCCGCCCCTGCCCTGAACTCTGCACTATGTACATAGCACACCCCTGAACTCTGCCCTCTGTATACAGTGCACCCCTAAACTCTGCACTATGTACATAGCACACCCCTGAACTCTGCCCTCTGTATATAGTGCACCCCTGAACACTCAGTGAAACCTCCCGAACTCTGCACTCTGTGTGTAACGCACCCTTAACTATGTATGCAGTGCACCCCTGAACTCTGAACTCTGTGTGAAACCTCCCGAGCTCTGCATTCTGTGTGTAACGCCTTCCTGAACTCTGCACTATGTACATAGCACACCCCTGAACTCTGTGTGAAACCCCCGGACTCTGCAACATTGTGTGTAACGCACTCCTGTACTCTGCACTCTGTGTACAGTACACCCCTGAACTCTCAGTGAAAGCTCCCGAACTCTGCACTCTGTGTGTAACGCTCCCCTGAACTCTGTATGCAGTGCACCCCTGAACTCTGCACTATGTACGTAGCGCACCCCTGAACTCTGTGTGAAACCTCCCGAGCTCTGCATTCTGTGAGTAACGCCTTCCTGAACTCTGCACTATGTACATAGCACACCCCTGAACTCTGTGTGAAACCCTCGGACTCTGTACTCTGTGTGTAACACACTCCTGAACTCTGCACTATGTAT